ATCGACCTTCGTATCTTCGCGCAACAACCCTATCAGTTGCGCCACATCATCTAGTAATTATATTAGTCACAATAACTTGAGTGATTGAAGAAGATTACTTTAAAAAGGAATTTGAATTCTAGTATTGTTGTGTCAGACCAACAAATATGCAAACTTTTTAAATTACACATGAACCGTCCAGCCAGAATAAAATTGTCTCGCCTTTCCTACAAAATGTCTCACTAACGCGAATTATAAGTAAATAAAATAAAGTAGGTAGGTACTTAGGTTATTGTCTCAGATTTGAATCCAAAGCAATCTTGACCAGACACGATGTCAAAATTTTATCAATTCGGCTTCTGTATTGGTAGAGCAAGTCCGATAAAATTTAATCAACAAAAAATATCGCTAGAATACAGAAGAAACCGTGAAAATGGTCGATTCTGATTGGTTCTCGAGATCAAGAGTGGAATAGTCATTAATAAATCCATATTTAGTATTTGTTGTTCAATCTTTTGCCCTTTTATAGAATATCAACCCTCAGCAAATTTCAACTTGCAAAGAAAATAAGTCATATTCGTGACCCTATTGTCACTATGAAAGCGCTATTTTCAATAATTAGCCATGATCATGACAGCATATGACAAGTCGTTATTGATAAATATCTAATAGATTCGAGTGCCATTCCTGCGAATCTCTGATCAAAACAGTGCATTCGGGTTAATCACAACAGAAGTGGCTATGTTTTTATCTACTAGTGGTTCATAAAATGATGAAAACTACCTCTGTAGTAAAAACACACTTCCTCGCCTCGAAAAGGAGTAAATAATGGTAGGTTTTAAACGTAGTGGTGGAAAAAAAAATTTCAGGTCTCTAAAGATACAGTAAATTAACGGAATGCCAATTAGTCACTATGGACTGATCTGAATTACCATAGCTTATTCCCACAAAAAAATAATTTATTTGCTGAATATCATAGATTCTTACATAATTCAGACTGCGCATTAACATCCCATTATCGTTTCATGTATATTTACAATTTATTTGATACTTCCAATGATCCAAGCACATATTTATTATTGAACCTACCCATCCAGGTCACCCGCACATTTTTAATATTATTTTTGAATGTCCAATCTATACTGTCATGAAGCAACCTGATTCATGCCTACGGAATTTGGAAACATTCATTGAAGCTTTAAAAATATAGCAATTGTTAATGCCAGATTGATTTCTGAATATATTTGGAATATACTTAGGTTAAGATCATTCATTTCAAACGAATAGTTTTAATTATTTCTCTTTTCACCTCTAGGTGGTGTAACTCTAAGAGCTTTTTGTTTTTGTTTTTTTTTTCTATTTTGTTATGGAATCAATATTGTTGTTACAATTATCAATATTATTGTTGTTATTATCAATATTACAAAGCACGCTCATACACTCCATTGCTGTAAACTTGTTTGAGAAGCAAAAAACATTATTATTTTTATTATTATTATTATTAGTCACTACCAGTCCACTCGCCCATTGTCAATATAATGATCTTATCTTGATCAAATCATAGCTAGTCATGGAAGGTACCAAACTCAATATTTTAAAATCTTTAAAAATTCAATAAGTATCTGTCATGAGCATGACAGTTAATAATTGTACACCTGATACCTGATGATCCTTCACTCTGTTGAATGAAGTTTGAGAAAATGTATGGGATCTTATATCAAAACTTGCTGATTTCAGGTATTTTAATTAATATATTTCATATATTTGATATATTCTCCAACAAGTTCCCTACGAGTAAACTCGTAAATAAAATTATATTACGAAACATCATTAGCTTATAAAAGTGTTAATCTCCATCACTATTATAGTGATATCCAGACTTCTTACAGCCTGTGTTTGAAAGTACCTACCTCGACAGTCTCTTTATTTATTACTTGAAATTTCACCTAATTTTCAATACTTTCGAATACATACGAGTACTCAGATTGTTGGATATCTGTTTGAATGAAAAAATTACTAAATATAACGCGGAACTGTGAAATAACAGGAGGTTTCGAAATCAGGCAAAAATTAATGATCATAGTACATTGGGAAACAGCTTATTTCTGTTAGGCACTAGATAGACTTGAGTGTAATCACAGTTTCAAACACCGCTAATATTTCTCGTTAGATAACCGAAATTTTTTCAAATTTTTAATGTAACAAACATTATTCGAAATATATTACGAACAGTAGGAAAATACTCAAAAATAAAATAGCAGAACAATTCATGACACAAAGAAATCGAGAAATCAGAAAAACAAGATGGGCAAATTTTAATTTTTGCATTGAGTAACTCATAACAATAGGAACACAAAAAATAAAAGTGACATTGTCTGCTCTTTTGAGACAAATTCATTGGTGGAAACAAAAATTTGCCATTATCTTTGGTTTTAGAGAGTTAAGTTCGATTTATCTGCATTTAGACCAATACGAACATGTCACTGTCAGTGGATAGCAAAGAAATAGATACTGTCTCGCAAAAATCGTCAGGCGATAGAGGAAAACTTGAAATTTCGAGTTATGGCCTAAAATGCATTTTGTATACATATTTTTGGAAATAAGAGTGTTTATTCATTTGTTAGTAAGTTGCATACTACCGATTTTGTTTCCGTCCTAATCACAATCAACTTTTTTTATCCTAAGGAAAGATCCCTTACAAAAATTACTGACAATGTTTAGAGAGAAAAAAGAGGAAACAATCTATTTTGACTTCTGATTATGACTCGAAAACATAAGAAGATATCAGATTTTTGTTTCCGCCAGTAAATTTGTCACAAAAAGGAGATCTAGAATGCCACTTTCATTTTTTCCTATCTCCTATAATTATCAAGTAATCTAATACAAACATCGAAATTCTCCCACTCTGTATATTTTCCACAGATAGACAGTATAGCTAATTACATGAGCTAAGCACAATCAATGAAAGCTCAAATAAATATTTTCCGTATTCATTAACAAGTTATTTTGAGATTTATAGAAGTTAGTTTTGGACAAGATCGATGACAAATCCATAATAATTATAGCACTTAAAACACAAACAAAATTTAAAAACAATTCGACAAATTACAGAACACTTTTCTTGAATTTAGGAAAGAGCAATGATTTCGATAATGAATCATTGACTCCTGACACGAATTGTCTCATTTTTATATATCTCTAGGGTTCAATTAATTATAATTATATTATTTTGATAATAAATAAATGATCCTCGATATACAGTGCGTCTATAGAATTTTTCAAAATTAATTCGAAATTACGGTGAAGATTTTGGCGCAATTGTATAGACTGTATTCATTGCTAAGGTGTCGGCCATTTCTTTTTTGGTTAATCTAATAATTGTCATAGTGGTAGGCCACATCAAATTGTCTTAGGTCCAATTCGACAATGATTTGTTCAACCAGAATTAAAATTGAAAAATAGCAAATAAATGCAAAACAACACAATTTGTGACATTTGAAAAATATTACTTCAGAATCGTAATTGGATTCATGATTATCTATACATATTTTGAAGGACATAAACAACCTAATTCACATCTGACAACTGCATGACAGATATGATATTGAATAATAACGATTTAAACGAATTCTTCTAGGTACGCACGATGTTTTTCGTTCATAGGAATTTCCTTTCGTGCGCTCCAAAAGATTTTTAAAAAACAGCGGTCGATTACCTGGTCTGACCGCCTATTTCAGCTTCACGAACATGGGAACTCTATAGCAACAATCCTAAATGTAAAAACACTACAACCTCTACCTGATCCGATAAAATTGGTATGACCAGAAAACCAATACACAAAAGAAGGGAGTCATGTTATATGGATAGGTATCTTTCGAAAAATCTTCGAGATCAACGCCCTAACTTCTAGGGTAAGACGAATGAAACCTATAAAAAAAGTTTACGAGTAGATCGACGTTTTTAGCAGCGAAAAGCAATATGGGCTCCTATATGTAGCACGTCTCGCTGGAGCCTCAGCTATTCTTTGGCTGTATATTCGGGCAGCACTTGACGGCTTATAGGTTTAGCGGAGATTCTGGGCGTGGCGCGTATATAGTTTGTTCGAGCAATCATTCGGTACACATAGGGCATAGAACGACAACATTGCAAAAGACGGATTCCTTATGGTGAGCGTTGCTCTCCGTGACTACGTTGCTAAATGCCATCCTCTCTTAATACTCCTATGAGTAACGATTCGATTAACAATCTGTATAGTTAGAGATCAAATGTCGGGAACGACTGATAAATGGGTTTCCGTTTTCCATTTCCCTCACCAACATGTGAATGTCCATCAACGCCAGTGTTTGCATTCAATCTCAAGCTAACTGGGTTCACCTTGGAGATCTGTCATTGCAAGGAACCTAGCTTCAGGAAAGAACTACTACCTCTCTGGCCTACACCAGCCACTGCGTGGAGGATTGTTTTATCTGTGCCTTTTTGAATGTGTTTGTACTATCGGAAATTGTTCATGTAGTTTGAAGCGTTTGATATCTGAACTGAAGCAATGCAGAGGTTGGAACATCAGAGAATTTGGAAGATTTCATGCAAGACCTGATTGACGCACTGTATATACATGTTCAGTACTGGTAATATTGAAAAACGAAGTAAATCAATTTGAAAACATAAATTGATGAATTCAGTACTAGGTTGACATGAGAAGACATTAATCCCAGTTTAGCTATTGTGAAGAATAAATCTTTACCGAGATCAGATTACCTTTGGCAAGGTAAAACACATATTTTTATACATGTGTGTTTGTCAGATTAGATTTAGGGACTAATATCCGCCTCAATTTCAAAATGAATCTACTGACCTTCGATAGTACCTACCAACATCTCCCACACAAACAGCGAAATATTAGCGGGGTTATGTTCTCGCCTCTCAGCTAAACTGGTCGAAACAATTAAATATTCATTTCACCGCCTGCGTTACAAGATATGAAGCCGATTTTCTGTATAAATAAAATATAAAATAGAACATTCTCAACTGTTATTTACCGACGAACAAAGTGACTGAACAACGGAATCGTATTCGTTTAGGCTCGATTCGAACGTTGCCAGCTGTTTGGCGACGTCCAGTTCTTCTGGAGGTGTGACGTCAACGAAGGCCTGCAACGGTGGTGCACTCTGCCACTCCCTGTAGAACTTGCCCAGCTCGCTCTTTTCGTTCGTGTTGGCAAACGGTGTTTTCTGAAAGGAAATAGAAAATTCTTTGTTGCTAACAAATATCAACTGAGGAAAACACACTACGTAACTGAAACGGATTCTGAAGCATAGAATATTGTGGAAGGTGTTTTTTTTTTAATTGACTCGGCCGTTAGTTGATGGAAATCCATGGCAAATGTAAAAACTTCACAAACAATAAGATTTCCACAAAATTCTCGAAACACAATGTTTCGATAACTCAGTAGCTTCGTCAGGTGATATACTGGTACGATGAACTAAACTAACATTGGCTTGCTTATATATCCTGCTTTCCCAACCTGAAGGATTAACTTGAAAGGGTTGATATCGAATACATATTATTACTTACTAAGAAAACAAATTCAATAGTGGTGAACTATTGAGGTCTAATTGATCGTTAAGTAAAATGTCAGAATTGTTGAGTTTGTTGATTTCTAATGATTCAAAATGCTTGAGTTTCATTCCTTTATTTTCTGCAATTGCAATTGTGGAAGAGCCAAGAGAAAGATAATGATATAACTGGTGGGGTTGTTGTCTCTCTTTTCGCATTTGTTGATATCCGAGTCTGCAGTTGTGAATGAAAAGATCGTTTAATATTAGTGGTTTAGGACATTGGTTTAGGTAGGTTTAGGTGCATCTTTTGTGAATTTCTATTTTTATACGACGCTATACATAGTGGAGTATACTACGGCCTTGCCAAAAATGCTATCTCGGAAACTAAGCGAGATAGAGGAATAGTTACTTTGGAGAAAATGATCCCCATCGAATTTTGAGCAACTTTGGTTTTTGTGTGTGGTCTGTCTGTCTGTCTGTCTGTCTGTCTGTACTCTGTGTTAATCATAAATCGATATATCTCCGGAACCCTTTGACATATCGACTTGAAATTTTGCCATCTCATTGTACTCAAAACAATATTATGTCATTAAAATATGAAGGAAATCGGAAAACTCTAAGGTGGTTTTTCCGGGTTTTTTCGATTTTTCACCGAAAGTTTCTTGCGACCACTCTACAAATCGCAAAAGTGGTCCGATCGATTTCATTTTTTGTGAAAAATAACTCTACCAGGAAGAGACGAAGCCTATTGAAATTGAGCAGGGTCGGGAAATTCCAAGTGGGTTTTTCAAGGAGATTTTCCGAAAAACACGGTTCGCTTTAAAACGACATATCTCCTGAACCAATAGACTAAATCCAAATTTGAAAAATGCACCGTATGCCTCTTTGATGACGCAACAAATTATTATTTCACCATTTTTTCGTGCATCCATCGGAAAATGGAAAAACAAATGAAAATTAAAACAAAATTTGAAATCCTTTCAATTCAATATATATCGAAAACAAATGGAAAAATCGAAAATTATCAAAAGTGCAAAGTTATCCACTGGAACATTTCCTACAAATTATTTCCCATAATTTTTTCTGTAAACCCAATAGTACAGGAAATAAAGTGAAAAATATGAAAAAAAAATTGAACGACCCATAGGGTACCATGAAGATATATTGGAAACAAAAGATTATCGATAGATGAAGATCATCGACTTCCACGGAACCATGGAATATTTTTTCCTTTTGTTGAGTGGAAAATTTTATTCTCAGATGATTCCAAATATCTCGAAAACAACTGGAAATATCTGAAAATGTTATAGAACCAAAATTATTCCTTTTGATAGAATCTACAAAAAATCCTTATAACATTTTTCTCTGAATTCAATAGTTCGGGAGATACGATGAAAAACCTAAAAAATTTACAAGTTCCTAGATAATCACTTGCCAATAGAAAACGAAACAAAAAACAAAAGAAAGTAAAAAAAGCACACTCGACTGTCTTGATTTTTTCCCATGAACTACTTACCTAGCTCACTCGACTGTCTTTATTTTTCGCCAATAAACTAGGTACCTAGCTCACTCGACTGTCTTAATTTTTTGCCCATAAACTACGTACCTAGCTCACTCGACTGTCTTGATTTCCCACAAAGAAGAAATATGTTGGCATTGTTTTAACTTTCTTTCGTTTTTGTTTTTTTAGTCCCTATTGGCAGTCGAGTGGGCTAGGTACGTAGTTTGTGTGGAAAAACCAAGACAGTCGAGTGGGCTAAGTACGTAGTTTGTGGGAAAAATCTCCAGTTCTCTGAACTTTCATAGCGTCGTATACACATCTTTGGTGCCCAATGATAGTTTCAATATAAAAATATGCTCATGATATGGTGCCATGGCCTCTACTTCCATCTTACATGAGCAATGATAAAATATCATCTGCTTTTATAGCGTCGTATAAATTATCTGACCTCTATACTAATCTAATACCTAATGAAAACTACATCTATACTAATCTGATACCTTCAAAAACTACGTAGGTACCTCACTTGTTATAGTGTATTGAAAATATGGTTGTTTATTGTGTGACGTACGGTTGCAAGAATGAACATAATAAGCAAAAAAAGTATTCAATTCGATAGGTAAGTTATGAACAGTTGATCTCGAATTTTTGTTTGCATATTGCATTGTACTATTATCCAAAGGTATACCTACTATGGGATATTTACACCCCCTAATGATATCAGGTTTTCATTTCAAAAGGGACCAGATATATTGTAGTCATGGATAACTGTAATGAGAAGAATGGAATGGACACCGAAGGTAACAGTGTGCATTTCAGAGATGATGACTAGGCTTTTCTGTCAAATTATTGAAACCTGATGCAATACCAAGTATTTTCGATTTCGAAACATTTACAGAGAACACATCTCCTAGAGTTCTGGTTCAAAGTATGATTCTAGATTCTTGATTATGAATTACTTCCATGGATATTCAGCACATCAACAAAATGTAAGATGCTGCCTAAAAATACAGGCTGTGGAATATCAACATCACAGAAAAGTAAAAACATCATTTTTTGAATTGACTCGGCCGTTACTTGATGGAAATCCATGGCAAATGTAAAAACTTCACAATGAAAGTTCATTGTACCAGTATATCACCTGACGAAGCTACTGTCTTAGCGAAACATGTCGTGTGTTTGAGAATTTTGTGGAAACCTTATCGTTTGTGAAGTTTTTACATTTGTAAAAACATCAATAGAAAGAATTAGGCGTAAAAATAAAAAAAGGCAGTTCCATGCAAGCTTCAATTCAAGTATTGAATAATAGTGTATCCTCAACTGATTATTTACAATCAGTATTGATTAGTTACTTCAAAGGTACCTAATGAATAAATTATAAATTCTGGCTCTATTCACGTGTTCCCGAAATTCCAGGATCCCCTTTGGAATTTCTCATTCAGCAACACACAAATGAAAATGCTGCTCCAGATCGTGTGCAATACATGAAAAAATTATGATCAACATGAGCTCCAGTTGATCGAAGGCATCTGGCATAGTCAAAATTTCGCATGCCTCATCAGGCCAGAATGTCTACAGAATTTACTCAATGCAATACATTAGGTTTACTGATAAAATTTACAAAATTGAATTTATTTTACAACCAATAAATCATTCATTGAAAATATTCATTTCATTCTTGTTATGATTCTTCCACATCATTAAATCATAATTTCCAAATATTTGTTTCATTATCAGATAACTTTTTATTTGGTTCACAATATTGAATCATTTTACACAAGAAAATAAGGTAATAATGATCCTAAAATTAAAATTCGAGTCATATTGAAGGCATTAGAGGGTTCTCTGCCTTCCTCCCGATGTGTAAGAGAGAGATAGATAACCCAGCATCTGCCGCACTAAGAGTGTAGGTTTAATGTGACAGGGGAATTCAAATATACTAGTGTATAGTTCAATGGTGTGAAACTAGCGGAATAAGAGCTGCACGAAAGAGCTGATTTGGCAAATGCACCGCTAAAGTACACTAGTGCATAGTTCAACGGTATGAAACTAGCGGAATAAGAGCTGCCCGAAACAGCTGATTTGGCGAATGCACCGCTAAAATACACTAGAGTTCCTAAATTTACTTGACACTGCTATTTTGACGTTTTTTGTATATTAGAGTACGGACACTATGACAAGCAGTGACAATCAGACATAACCACAAATAAATAGATGGAAAAAGCGGGAACTGACAGTACACGGACGTACATGACATGAATTTCAAAAGTTTGACAAATTGAGAAAATTAGGAGAAAGATGCAAGTTTGTGCAGTTTCCAACTGTGAGAACACAGGAAATCAATTCACTCTTTTGGAATTCCCATTGGATAACGTAATTCTACACAGATGGAAACAGAATATGATGCGGCCGGCATGAAATATAGATTCAGGCCACAAAATTTGCGAGGTATTCAAATTTCTTGGTAGGAACGGAAGATTTGACGATGAAGAATAGGATCGTATTGAGAGAAAGAGCCGAACCCACAATTTATCATCTGATGATGAAACAGTAGCAACTTCCTGAATTGACTGACTCAAAACAGATTTCACATCCCTGTTCAACCAAGAATTCTTTAGATCATCGTCGTATACGAACTCTTATAATAATTTGGTGAAAACATATAGTCACTTTGTGGAACTCTGATGAATGATGTATCAGATATTGATGTATCTATATCAAAGAGTTGAATATATTGTTCGTGTATCGCTTCTTCGCAGTTGAAATCTCAAGTCTGAATGTGCATGTTTATGCGTAGTTGAGAAGTCTACATAGCTCCTAGTGGATTTTGAACCACTTCTCTGGTACTAATATACGAGCAAGATTTTATCAGAGCACAGAACGCTTCACGAGTGCAATTTGAACGGCAATCTATAGTGGGTCGAGCGCTGATGAAGTCCATTTTATACCTACTTCCGTATGTCTTGGAGAATCTGTATTATTTATCCTAACTGAAATCAGCTGTTATTGTTGCCATATCATTTTTTCATTCATTGAATACTTATTACCTACCACTCTTGTACAAGAGTAGAGTAGAGTAGAGTAGAGTAGTTTATTTGACCATGTTATGTAAATTACATGTACGGCAAGTCATAATTACAATAGCCATAGTGCTAAAAAATGAAGATTGAGATTGTTCCATACGAAATAAAATTATGTTGCATTGATTGAAATTTATCAGTTTTTACCCCATTCTGAACTTTTGTGACAAAAAAATATTGAACTGAATTCAATATTTCGAGAAGATATAATTTTCTAATCAATTTATCCTGCCCTTTTACCCACTCGAGGAGACTTTATGCACTCTCATACAAAAATCAAAGACAGAGAAAGACATATGGATGTACTCTTCCCAGGACAACATATTATTGTCCTTGTCTGCCAAAACATATGATTTGCTTCAAAATCGTTTGTGGTTATGTTTGATTGTCACTGCTTGGCTAGTTTCCGTACTCTAATATACAAAAAACGTCAAAACAGCAGTGTCAAGTACATTTAGGAACTCTAAAATACATTAGTGTATAATTAGTTCAATGGTGTGAAACTAGCGGAATAAGAGCTGCCCGAAACAGCTGATTTGGCGAATGTAGCGCTAAAATAAAATAGTGTATAATTCAATGGTGTGTAACTAGCGGAATAAGAGCTGCCCGAAACAGCTGATATGGCGAATGTAGCACTAAAATGAAGTAGTGTATAATTCAATGGTGTGAAACTAGCGGAATAAGAGCTGCCCGAAACAGCTGATTTGGCGAATGTAGCGCTGAAATAAAATAATGTATAATTCAATGGTGTGTAACTAGCGGAATAAGAGCTGCCCGAAACAGCTGATTTGGCGAATGCAGCGCTAAAATGAAGTAGTGAATAGTTCAATGGTGTGAAACTAGCGGAAAAAGAGCTCGAAATAGCTGATTTGGCTAATGCAGCGCTAAAATACACTAGTGTATAGTTCAATGGTGTGAAACTAGCGGGAAAAGAGCCCGAAACAGCTGATTTGGCGAATGCAGCGCTAAAATACAGAACGGGAACTCCCAAAGCGCCTAATTAGCATCAGTAGTTATCACTAACATAAACTACTATCTAGACCGCCAACGCACTATGCGCATTTAGGGCCTGTCACATATCACAACTATTACTTATGTTTCTGAACACCAATAAACATGAACGTCACTTCAACTGACGGCGACATTTGAACACTTCTGAGCAGTTTGTTTCGATGGATGTGACCAATAAGTCCAAACAAAAAACACATGTGAACCAATGGAACCAATGAAAACAAAGTAAACAGACCGCTATGACAGCTCTGAAAATGTCCTATAGGTGGCTCACACTTATTTTCTATCGCGAATTGAGAAGTGATTTTAGGCAAGCAATTTCGGGATGCTGAAGGATATGACATATAGCGATGTAGATAGAAGTTATGTTAGTGAGAGTTTTTTCAAAATTATCACACCAAGACACAAAAGACACAATACATTCATCCACAGGATAATAATATCACAGGTGTGTTATAGTCAGAGCTAAGTGAACCACAGAACAAGATGTGCACATCAAATCAGGCCACTTTGATTCTATCTGAATCTGCTAAGCTCGATATTTTCCTAGGACCACCCCTGTTCAAGCATTTTAATAAATAGACATCGATTTAGCAAATTTTTTTGGTTTTTTAGATTTTTTTTTGTCACCTTGTCATTTTATTATTATTTTTTGTAATCAACTTCCCCATACCAGAATTTTATGTTTGACTGAAAGCTATTTTCTCAATAAAAAATAAAAAAGGTGTAGTTAATCTTTTTGTAATTGATTTTGGAGAATCTATCAACCAACCACCCTTACCGATGTTGGAATTCATTTATATACAGTAAGGAAGTACAAAGTCCTCCCCCTCCCTTCAACTTAGTAAAGGAACAAGTTAGCGAGGGCGGGTAAAATTCAAGTGAAAAGGTACCTTTTTAACTACTTTTTGGCATGAAAATGGTTGTAGTCACGTCCTAGTGTGGAGAGGGCACCATCAACTTTTGTTGTCAAACTTTTTTCCCGTCACAGAAAAAAAAATATTTTTTACTTATGTACTTTTGTCTGAAAAACACGAATTTGATAATGAAAATATGAACAGACCATTATTTATTGAAATATTTCACTATAAAGTTACAAAAAATATCACCTTCTTTCCATCTGTTTTTTGGGTCGCATTTAGAACAATTTGCTCTTCTTCATTCATCATTGGACAATTCATATATCACGATGTACTTCAATGACACATTTTTTTAAATATGAAAGTCAACTAGAAATATGATTTTCTTGTGAGTTATCCCAGTCACGTGTTTAACGTCATTCAAAAGCAATCGGTTGACATTTGACATCTCGTATTTGGATTGATTATTGATTAAATGACCGTCATCTAGTATGATTGTTCACTATATATGAAAATCTCACCATATAAATCATATTTTGTATAGAATTTTCTATATAAAAATGTGTCATAGAAGTACATCATGAGTATATAAAGTGTCCAATGACAAAATAAGAAGAGCAAGTAGCTGTAAATGCTTCCAAGACAGGCGGGAAAAGGAGGCGAAATTTCGAACTTTTTCTTGAAATATCTGGATAAATAGTAGTTTGTTCACATTTCCATTATCAACTCGTGTTTTTCAGACAAAAATAAGTAGGTAACAAAACATTTTTTCGGAAAAAAACCATCCCATGATAAGGGCAAAATTGCCAATAATATCACTATTGAGTCAAACACCTCATTATTACTGATATTATAGTGACTTTTGGCACACCCTGTATAGCTGGAGGACTATAATAGTTATTTATTATACAAGGGAAAAAAAGTAATAGATTTCAGCTCCAGGTTGTGTTGTCTCCTGACACATAGCAGAGGGAGACAAAAAACCATGAGCTAAAACCAAATATTTTTCTCCTGTATAATACACTATTTTTTTCTGTGACATGATGAATCAATATGGAGAAGATATAACATTATATTGAAATTAGAAAATTATCAACGTGAAATTCGAAGTTTTTAATAGGAATGACACCTGCATTTCAGGCATCTTTATCATTCTTTTGAAGTAATCATATATCTGTCCAATTCTGTGATTATTTGATTTTCAAAAATTGGGAATTTAGTGGTTTTCTAGTAAATAACATAACCACAAAGTGGAATGGAAGATAAAAGGACTTGCAGTTCTTTCTAGGAGATGGTGTTATTGGCTTATTTTTTGGAACTATAGCACAAGAAAAGCCATCAACAGTGTATATATGTGATTATGTGTGAAAGTAATTAATGAAAAGTGACATTTTATAACCTGTCAACAGAGATGAAATTTAAAACTTTTCTCCTGTCACAGAAAATAATTCAGGTAGTTTAACAGCATATCAATTTTCAAGTATGTAACCCATCTACAAGCTGGAAAACTTCTAATGTGAAGCATGTGATTCACCATGTATTCTTAGCTTGAATAAAATAGAGGTAATAATGATAGGTTTTCTGTGGTTTTTTGAGTTTACATTCAAATTTTATTATATTTCCAGTGATATTTTATACTATTATGTAATTTATTATATTCAAATTCAGCAGTGGTTGAATATTTGTTGCCCTATTATTGGGTTAGCAGCACCAAGGTGACATTAGTTATATTGTTTTGTTTGGTAATTACAAATTTCATAGTTTCTTGTTGAAATAAAATAAAAATTCAATCTCATATTCAAAAGAAAATGAAATGTACCACAAACTCAAAATTATTTTTAGAACAAGGTGTATGTTGCAGTACTTATTAGGAGACTTATTAGTCATAAGAAAAATTTTACCTTTATATTTAAAATAATAGCTAGACATTAAAATATGTAAGAAACGTTACTTACCAAATCAACCATGATGAAATCATCATTGGTAGATACCATGGTGAGAGAATCCATTCTTGCTTCCAGAGTATGTGTGGAAGCAGATGAATCAATATATTTTTCACTATTTTCCATTTCTTTGTTGACTGCTTCAGGGAATACAGGGCACTTATTGGGAGACAGTTTTTCTTTGAAAATTTTACTGAAAGGTGGGCTTGGCATCATCATATCATATTCAAGGGTCTTTTTTTTCAGGTCTGCAAATGCTCCAATTTTCATTATGTCACTCAATGATGATGTATTATCCCTAGAAAACAAATGTACAATTTTGCTCAGAACATAAAATACATAATAAACTTCTCATGAACTCATGAATGACATGGTTTTTGCAAGAAATTGTAGGCACTTACTTTTCTTCTTGTTCCCCAATTTGAGTGCATACATGTGTGTTGAAATGATCACTCTTTAGCATGATTGAGTTGTCCCTGCCAGTTTGTGTTGGAGAAATTGTCATCTTTGTGCGGTAAGAAACTGACAATGCAAAAGTTCCAAGTGGGGTGCAAACTTGCCCCACACAAATGTTTTTGAAACCTTCACCCAGACATTGTTGTAGAGGCTCCCCCATATACATTCTATAGCAAATAACAAATGACTCTGGACCTTGGCGTCGAGATAGCTTATAGGCAGGAATAACCCTTGATACAGAAACCAAGGATTTCAACAAGATTCCCATATGGTTGTAAATGGTATGAATTATCCTGGCTGTGGGGTCACACTGTTCTGGAGATAAGCTCAAATACCAAGTTTCCAGAACCATATGATCACCCTCAACTGTGCGTAAAGAGATTTCAATGCACAAGGGCAAACGGGAGGATAGAACTTCTCCATTTAATATCTTTTTTCCTTCAACCAACACTTCTGGTATGTCATTAATGTTGAGATTGAACTGAAATAGAATGGACTATTTAGAAAATTTATCTGAAGCGATAACACTGCATTCCTTATACCCAATCAGTTCCAGTAGTTTGTGGTTTGCAAGCTGTTGATACTTTTTCTCCAAGCCTGGACTGAACAATGATTTGAGTAGACTTCAAAGCGAGAAATTTCGTGAATTTGTCGAGTTCCTTCTTTTCTTGACTGTTGAGCTTCATGATCATTAAGATCTTATTTCACAATTTATTTTCGTAACAATTTTACAACTCCATTTTACTACATTTACTACCATTTTACTACTAATGTCAAAGTACAGGCTAAGGTGGTCAATTATAGCCACCTTAGTACAGGCAAACACGAATGACAGCATTGACAGCTCAATGAAACCAAAAAGAATATGTCTAAGAAACCGTGACAGCGGATCTTTATTATGAATTGGAGATTCGCGATAGAAAATAAGCGTACGCCATCTCTCGGAGTTCTTCAAAGCTGTCATAGCGGCCTGTGTATTTGTTTTCATTGGTTTACATTTGTTCTTTGTTTGTGCTCATTGGTCACATCATTAAGGCCCGTATTTATAGTCGCTTCTTAAGGTGACCTCGTCTCTTTAGGCATCCTTAAGGACCAGTTTCAAATTTATAGTCGTAATATGAGCTCAAAGGAAGCCTTAAGGAAATGTCAATTCCAAGGAAGGTAAAGAGGTACCTTGAGCATTCCTTGATCCAATTTCTAGTATTATTTCAGGTTATGTTATGAATTCCATGAATGGAATGATGAAATTGAATGTAGCAATCAAATGAATATGCAAGTCTTGAAATTTGTACATATAATATCTGATTCGAGTATATCGATTTTCAGTAGAAGCTGATTCAAGGTTAGATGAAAAGTATTCAAATCTTTTTTTTTTTATTTCAAAGCAGGTATATATTACAAATAATGGAAACTCAGCAAATTCAGATCATACTCATATTAATAGAAACAAGAAGAAAATCCCAAATAATCAAGTGAAATGAAAACACATTTTCAATGAACAACCACACAAAATCACAGATTTATTAAGTATTCAATCAAATGGCTATTTTTCTTCTTCCTGGCCATATTATTGCATTGTAGCTTGAAAGAATCCGTTTTTAATAGATTAGTTTTTGTATTGTAATTTTCCAAAATCGTCATCGAAATAAACTCTTCACCCTTTCTTCATTTTGGGGAACCTTGGAAATATTTTGTCTGTGATCGAAGTAATATATTGTTAGGCCCAATTGGAACCAACACAGAATATTATCCTTTGTGCTTTGAAGATACAAAATAATTACTGGACTATTAGAATCTTTCGATGTCCACACTCAACAGTAATCACTGTCAAATTCGACATTTTACATTTTGTGACAAACAAGTGACATGAAATAACAAATTTGGTCACAGAACACTGAAATTATACACTGTTACCAAGTGTAAGGGCACCTTTTAGAAGGAATACTCGAGGGAGGTCTATAAAACAAGTTTAACGTCAAGTACTGAGGAGTCCTCAAGGAATCCTCAGATGAGGAAGACTTGAGGAGTTCTCGAGGAAACGACTATAAATACGGGACTAAACAAACCGCCCAGAAGTGTTCAATTTGTTGCCGTCAGGTGGGGCAACGTGTTATTTTCTATCGCGAATAGGGGGCTAAATTCTCGATGGTAATGCACAGAACTCATATATTATAATATGATGATATTATAATATATGAGTTCTGTGTGGTAATGACAAAGAGGACTAACCTATATTCTTTGGTAATGATACCACATCACTGAAGTGTACCACATACCAGCAGTAAGAATCAGTCACTCTGAGAAGTTCCATCATGGAAGAAGAGAAAGGTTAAGAAGATATCATTATTGTGTCATTCATGAAATTGTTTCCTTGAAATCTGGTATGTGTATGTTTCATATAATATATGAGAGGATAATTAAAAAATATAGTTACTAGAACTTTCAGATTCATTAGACCCCTACAACCCCTACCTCGATAGTTGTTGATAATTGCTATTAAAGTCCCATCATTTATATATATGCTGTGGGCTTGCTATGGGTCTTCGGGAAACTCAATGTGTCGAATATGTTGTACTGGCCTTTTGTCGGGGAACTGAATATGATTGCTGGGCACTCAGCACTGGGATGGGACCAGCTGCCGGCCGCAGTGTACTGATATACAAAATATATACATCAGTCCCGCAAATGGGACCAGTGTTGCTACACGTCACAGAGAATTATCGCATGAGCCATTTAAAATTATCGTACGTTATATCACGTTATATATATCGTACAAAATATCGATATTTCAAAACATTCCTGCTAAATAATAAATGTTAGAAAAAATAAATTGAATTAAAATATTGAACAAAAACGATGTATTATTTTCATAAAATGATTTTTCTACATATAGCACCTAGCCTGCTTCGTGCTATCTGAAAGTAGAATTAAAATATTGTAGAACATGAAAAACGCGTGTTTTTCTTTCTTACCTGCCCTATACCGCATTACTCTAAACGAGCCATCCCTTGGGATCTTGGGTCTTGTTCCCATTCGCCATTCCGGGCGGTAGTTCTGTTTTCGATGCGAATGCTTTTTAGAACTTTTCCTACGTTTCATCTTTCTATATTCTGGCGTTGATTTTCTTTCACGTTCCGAATCAGAATCCATGTTTCAGTTTTATTATATGACTATTTAAATCTGAACTAAACTTGAGTTGCAAATAAATGTCCTTCAACATCACGAAAAAATTAATACAAAAAGTCCGATGCGAGAGCAAAATATATAAAATGCAAGGAGCATCTTTAGGACCAAAACGATAATAAACCAAATTCGGTGAACCCCGCAAATTCGTGTGATTCCCCTGACTCGCTCGGTATGGGCCGTTACACCGATATGGGCACAGATTGTATGTAATGTCAAGTATCAAGTATTCCAGTGCTGTTCGAAATATACTTATGTGAAGTTAGCGTCAGGAGCTAGCGCTCAAACTCAGCGCCCACCCCCCACCACAGCGCCCAGTTCACACCAGAGAATTTCATACTCAACTGGCGCTAGCGCCCAAAAATACCAGACATTTTCAGGAAAAACTTTTTTTTCTCCACCTAAGTATTTCTTGTGATGGGTTTTCAGATAGTCGCCGTAAATATACAGGGCGATGACTATATTTTGGCAGAATTTCTGGTCTCTAAACAGATGGCATCTAATAAAAATATACCTAAGTCGTTTTACCATGAATATACAGGACGATGACTTTATTTTGGCAGAATTTCAGGTCTCTAAACAGATGGCATCTAATGAAAAAATACCTAAGTCGTTTTAAGAATAACTTTTTTTTCATCTAAGTATTTCTTGTGACGGATTTTCAGATAGTTACCATGAATATACAGGGCGATGACTATATTTTGGCAAAATTTCAGGTCTCTAAACAAATGGCATCTAATAAAAAAATACCTAAATCGTTATAAGCAAAACTTTTTTTCCATCTGAGTATTTTTGGTGACAGATTTTCAGATACTTACCATGAATATACAGGGCGATGACTATATTTTGGCAGAATTTCAGATCTCTAAACAGATGGCATCTAATAAAAAAATACCTAAGTCGTTTTTGGAAAAACTTTTTTTTCCCATCTTAGTATTTCTTGTGACGGATTTTCCGATAGTTATCATGAATATACAGGGCGATGACTATATTTTGGCAGAATTTCAGATCTCTAAACAGATGGCATCTGATAAAATAATACCTAAATCGTTTTAAGAATAACTTTTTTGTTCATCTAAGTATTTCTTGTGACGGATTTTCAGATAGTTACCATGAATATACTGGGCGATTACTATATTTTGGCAAAATTTTAGGTCACTAACCAGATGGCATCTAATAAAAAAATACCTAAGTTATTTTTGAAAAAACTTTTTTTTCCCATCTTAGTATTCCTTGTGACGGATTTTTAGATAGTTACCATGAATATACAGGGCGATGACTATATTTTGGCAACATTTTAGATCTCTAAACAGATGGCATCTAATAAAGAAAAAATACCTAAATCGTTGTAAGCAAAAATTTTTTTTTTCATCTAAGTATTTTTTGTGACGGATTTTCAGATAGTTACCATGAATATACAGGGCGATGACTATATTTTGGCAAAATTTTAGGTCACTAAACAGATGGCATCGAATAAAAAAATACCCAAATCGTTATAAGCAAAAATTTTTTTTTCATCTTAGTATTTTTTGTGACGGATTTTCAGATAGTTACCATGAATATACAGGGCGATGACTATATTTTGGCGGAATTTCAGGTCTCTAAACAGATGGCATCGAATAAAAAAATACCTAAGTCGTTCTTAGAAAAACTTTTTTTTCCCATCTTAGTATTTCTTGTGACGGATTTTCAGATAGTTACCATGAATATACAGAGCGATGACTATATTTTGGCAAAATTTCAGGTCACTAAACAGATGGCATCTAATAAAAAAATACCCAAATCGTTATAAGCAAAAATTTTTTTTTCATCTTAGTATTTTTTGTGACGGATTTTCAGATAGTTACCATGAATATACAGGGCGATGAGTATATTTTGGCAGAATTTCAGATCTCTAAACAGATGGCATCTAATGAAAAAATAACTAAGTCGTTTTAAGAAAAACTTTTTTTTTCATCGAAGTATTTTTTGTGACGGATTTTCAGATAGTTACCATGAATATACTGGGCGATTACTATATTTTGGCAAAATTTTAGGTCACTAACCAGATGGCATCTAATAAAAAAATACCTAAGTTATTTTCGAAAAAACTTTTTTTTCCCATCTTAGTATTCCTTGTGACGGATTTTTAGATAGTTACCATGAATAAACAGGGCGATGACTATATTTTGGCAAAATTTCAGATCTCTAAACAGATGGCATCTAATAAAGAAAAAATACCTAAATCGTTATAAGCAAAAATTTTTTTTTTCATCTAAGTATTTTTTGTGACGGATTTTCAGATAGTTACCATGAAAATACAGGGCGATGACTAATACATACGTAGTTGTATTGAATTCAAGTAATTGTAAATTATTCTTTAATGACAATCTAATCAATTCGTAACATGACATTCCATGACATGCATCTACCAAGTGTATATCAACATGGAACCTAACATTTCCCCCCTAAAAAAATAAATTACAAATTCAAGCGTTTCGGAACGGTTCGTATTCTAGTTGATCTTCTA